GGAGCTGTCGCCTCCTGTTCTACTCTCCTCAATAGTCCCGCTCTGACAGCCTGGATCCAGCGGAGCAGAGGTTGCTGGGATGCACCATACGCACCTTCCCCTTTTCCATCAACACAAACATCTCAGGAGACTAACTAGGAAACCGCTATAGCAATGCATTAATGGGTGTATTGAAAGATTAGTAATACATAATGGGTGAGATTACAAGCGGGGAGGTGTATGATAATGCGGTCTAGTTGTTACCAAGAAATAGTCTGCACAATGTTGATCAATAGTGAAGGGAATAAACTGGATAAACTAACTATAAGGACCCTGACAGAACGTCCAAGCAGGAATCAAACCTCCAACCCTCCACTGTCCCCAAAATAAAATATGTAATTATGGTACTGTTTAGTGGTTTGTTTTGTGAGGGGATTACAGTGACATCTGAATAAGTACAAAAAGATGTCCCATGCTGGCAGGTGCTCTGAAATGTTTTGGAAGAACAAGCTGCTTCCATGTTTCTTCCAAGTTTAAAACTACAAGGCCTGCACGGTGGAGGTTTTAAAGGATGATACATTTTATGGGGTTGATAGTGAAGCTAAGAACAAACCAAAACGCCAGGACAAATGACCTGCTCTTATGGAATCCAAGATCGCTCTGTGACTCTGTTATTGTTTTGTATTATATAGCACATAGTATGTCTAGACTATGGGCCCTGTTGATCTTGATGAGAAGCCAGAGGTCAGTTGTCCAGCAGACGGTTTCACTCAGAACGCATTGATTTGGCCAGACCTGAGGCACTTAGCGCTGTCTCCTGCTCTCCAATTATGTGCAGAGGGAGCTGAGTACACAAGATGTTTGACAATCTGTGCAGGTTGTGAAGGGTGTGATAAAGAGGAAAAAGAGAACCACAAATTATGCTAATGTTTTAATTGCACACAGCATAGGAGTGATCTCAGGTGTGTCTTCCAAATAAAACACCTCCAGTACTTTTAAGCTTGACCAGATCACAGTATATCAAAGTTTCTTGAGAAGATGGATATTATTATTAATTAAACTAATCCCAAACCATATCACTAAAATCATCCAATATACAAAGCACCATGCAACTTTTCTGGTGAAGTCTGCCACTTTGTCTCCATAGGGACAAGTCCATGAGACCAAAGGCCAAATTACAGGTCAGATCTGTGGAGAGCTGACCTTACAATAAGAATGCATGTTAAAGTTATTTTTGAGAACTTAAAACTCCTGTAATGAAATAAATGCTAGCTATGTAAAATGGACATCTCTGTGGCAACTTGTAAGTAATGCACTCTCCACCAGAATGTTACATAGTGCACCTTTAAAGTTTGCTTTGGGGCACATCTTTTGTTGGACTTGTTCAGCATCTTTGTCACTGTGCAGAACACTGAGAAAACACTGGTTTAATGAAGGACCACCTACATAGATTACTCTTGTAGCAAAAATGACTGTAAAAATCAGACAATATAATCCATCATATAATCTGCATGGAACAGGCTATTGTTGCATTGTCTCAAATTGGACACGCTCTGAGGCTCACACTTAATATTTCACAGATTAAACAGAGCCAGTTCTGTTTGTAAAGAAATATCAGGTTTTAGTTGGAGCGTGACGACTGTTGACCCGTTTCATTTGGCAAAAAGGGAATGAGGGAATTCAATGGCTGAAGTAAGGTTGTCACAAGCACTAGTCCAATTAAGGACTTTGGGGCTTTGTTGCATTTCACAAAGTTGGCCAATTCTGAAAAGGCAAACACAGCTTAAATACTTTCAAATGTGCCTTGGAGTTGTAGTGACAAGCTATTTGTGTTTAATATAGGGCTATTCTCCCACACATTGTGGGTAGTTAACCTAGGACTTTGGCTCCTGTTTTAGGGGTCACAACCTCTCAGGGCCCCCAAAACCAAAATAGCATGTGATTATAGAGTCTGGTTAAAAAGGTAAATATAGAGAGGTTAGCAGCTGATCTAAGCTTGCCTTTTCCTTTGTGGAGATAAACGAGTTCATATTTTGGTGGCGTTCTCTGTCAAACCAAAATCGCAATTTGAGTTTGAGCAAATATCAAATCGCTAAGGCTGCAATCATTTAAACAATAAGATGTCCTATGCAAAGAACAACATATTCTGTCTTTTTATTGAAAAATCTTGTACCTGTAGTTTGAAATTCATGTGATTCTTATATTAGTTCATCAGTTCATTTCATTTTTATTATTTCATTTCAGTCTCCTGTCAAATGTCAGTGCTCCTGGAGTATTTTACAATCTGAAGAAAATCATAGTTTTTAAACATAATATGGCAAATTGGCAAATCTAATTACAATGCTATTTTATTATTATTATTATTATTATTATTATTATTATTAGCCTTTTTTTTTTTTTTTTTTTTTTTTTACAAAATTTTGCAGCCCAGCAGTGTATAACAAAGTACCTTTTGCTGTCTCTATTTTGGTTAAATTTTTTCAAAATAAAAGTTTCTCAGACAGTATATTTCTATTGTTAAAATGCCTAGTTTATTTTGACTGATGCGGTGCTCTATAATGTGTCCAGACCCCGTTGAGAAGGACATTCTTCTGGTATTACCCGTGTTTGCTTTCTTCGTCCTTATCACAGTTAATAACTCAGCCTGTGCTAACACACTAAGCAGCTGCCATGAGAAAATGAGAAAAGGGCAACGCTATCAGGTGAAATTGGAATATAAATGGCAGACCTTTGACTGAGAAAAGCTTTCTTTGGTACTTCAAGAATCAATAGGGTAAATATATCAAATACACTGAACACATGAAATGCTCCTACGCCACATTTAATGGACAATTGAACGGTATATGGTTAGGAGTATATATAATACAATGATAACCTTAACCCTTTCCCATTAATGACTCTATTTACAGCTTTAGATTTGGAAACACTGAATCATAGTAATATTTATTTTAAAGCAATCTTGTGCTCCTTTCATGAGCCAACAATACATATTACACGTTTAGTGGTACGTCTCTAGCTGAAATAAACTAAAGCTTCCATCAGGCCTTGGCCAAACCTAATCATGTTTTTGGTGTAATCCAAAATCATCTAAATTCATTTCAGTTTTTTAACAAACTGCAAATAAACTGTGCAGTGTAAACAGGAGGTTAGGTCATGTCAGGATTCGGGTTCACACATTTCTTATTGCTCTTGGACAAATCAGATTTTACAAGCAGCTGAAGAATCAGCTGTAAACACAAACTATGAGCTTTTAATCCAATTACTTGTCTTATTACACTGGCTTATGAAAAACACATAGCAGTGCAGCAGTATCCCAAGTATTTACTGTCTGGGCTGTGTTAAAACTTAAATTCAAAGAAACGGAAAATAAACTGAGAATATTTACACAGTGAGCATCAAATAATACACAAAAATAATGTGTAATTTTCAGCGGTCAATGGCCTTATCCCTCAGTGGGGATAAGGTCCAATTGGAATCACATTTTGAACTTGTAGTCATGGGTAAATGTCCAGTGAGTCACAAAACCCCTAGTTTAGTGTTGTTGCAATACAAACATTTCAAGCTTTGATACTAAGGAAAATGGTCAAAGCTAATATAGGTTTCAGCATCTGAATTATTACAAAAACACTTCTTTTTGCAGCAGAGTGTAATTCAAAACACCATATTATAGCAGTTTATGCAATACCATGTGATTAGTTCTGATATAGATCAAGACCATTCACAAATTTTCAATAAAGGTCCAATGTTAGTTAAAATTCAGCAACTTTGTTCAGCTTCAGAAACTTGACTTCACCTAACTTCTACTGTAGTGGATTTCTTTTCATTTGCACCAAAATTACTACACAAAGCTGCCCGATCCTACGTGTTGGCAAAATGCTAAATAAGTGAGATGGCTCAAACATGCATGAATCACTCCAAATACAACTTTGAGAGAGTAAATGAACTCTAAAAAGTTGGCTATGCCTAATAGGTCTGCTTAAAAATTCCTCACTGACTTCTTGAGTTTGTAGTTAAACAGCCAACTTAAGCTACATAATGCAACATATCTTTGACTACAAGCTGCGTAGTAAGCACATATTACAGTATTGCTCTGTGGTTGAGGTTATAGTGAATGACAGTGTCCCAGGCTTGACTCCCATTCACAGAGTCCTCTGTGGTCACCTCCACTGTCTGCTGAGGGCCCAGAGGCTCTGCACTGTCCAGAAACTATTTTTACTCTCTCAAAGTATGCAGCGCACTGTTTTCTCTCTATTGTTACTCAGTGCAGACAGAAGGGCTTAAGAAAACATAGATACCACAAAAAGTGTCTAAATATGACAACTTCCACTAATATTGACACAAGCAATTCGGGTGCCACTCTTTCTTAAGATGTGTGTTCACTACAAATGCAGCAAAGTCCTAATCTGCCCATGTCAATAGTTACAAAGCAAACCAATAACTCAACAAGTGACAGTGCTATAGAAAATTGTACTATTCAAAATAAGAGTATAATACGTACTAATTGCTCAGAGGGTAATTAAGCAGGATTTTATGACAGAGACCAAGGATGTAGCCAGGTTGTGAACACGGTGAGGTCAAGAATGTTAAGGTATGCCATTAATGCATTCACAATTGGTGGTTAGAGAAACAAAGGCTAATTGAGGGTATATTATTTGCAGTTTAAAATGTGACACGTATTTGTTTCATAGATAATTCTAACATTGAAAACACAATCAGATTATGTGCTACAAATGTAAACAGCTATTTTACTACTTTATATGACAATGGTTGAAAAGCACTGAATTCTAAGCAAAACATGTAGCAAAATTCTATGCAAAATTTAAAACAGAAGAATCCCAGCAATATTAAGCAAGCTTTTGTGTAATAATAATCACCTCTTACAACAAATATCCAAGCAAATGTGACAATTATAAAGACCATCAAGTAAAACGGAGGGCTGTAGACTTTATGGCAACTGTATCAGACCATATCAAAATAACTACATTGCAACATTTAAGATGACTGAAGTGAAAGTATCTCACCTTTGAAGGACAAAAAAATCCTGGGAGCAGACATAGGCTCATTGGAGGGGGGCAGAGCTGTAGACGAGAGGGCCAGCAGGGCCAGGAGCCAGCATAGAGAGCCCCACAACATGGTCCCGGTGTTTGTAAAGACAACCAGAGTCTAGAAGCTAAGAACAGAGGAGAGGACTGTCAGGGGGAAAATACAGCCTGAAGTTTTAATGTATAATTTACCTCATAAGATACTGTAATACATAGAGTCTTGTCTCCTTGTTCATTAAGAGGGCAAGGACATGTCATTTTAGATTTAAATCAACATTTAGGACATTTTGCAAGAAACATATGTTGAAACAGATACTTCACTATTGCCATGTCAAATATGATTAAAGGTGCACTAACCAACCTACTGGTCTATACTTCTCTGCACAGGAATGTTATTGCTTTGCCATGTTTCACTTTGGCATTAAACTTTATCAGTCAGTAAGTTACCCATAGTAGCCTAAGAATGCATGTTGTCTTATAGAGCAATAAAACTAATTGTAATTGAACACATGCAACAGCAATATACCATACTTCAGAACATTACAGGTAAAGCAATGACATCTCCTAAAAGACAACCAAGCAGCAGACCCTTAAACAATAACGTTACGTTAGCGCACCTTTAAATTAACTCATAAAAACACATTTTATCTAAACTATACTTGCAATAAAATAAAACAAAACATTGCTTCCATTATCCATAAGATTAGCTTTTTGCGTGCCATGGGCAGTCTATCACAAAACACTTTTCACAAAGACTACAGAACTGGCCTAGATTGTGCCACTGTCCACTCTGTGCGTAAAAGGGTATAGCGATCCGAACCGCCTCCAACATTTAATATGCTTTCAGTATGAATAAAACTAGTTCGTGTTCGTGCGCGCGCATTCGCCACGCATGGCACTGATCTGCTTGTAAACGAAGATCTGTGGTCAAACTGTCAGTCGGCGGCGTAAGATCAAGTTCCCACATAAAGCCCCTGAAGGCACAACTCCAAAGCAGAGCGTTAACCAAAATAAAGCGTGACTGAGCTTTGGAGTTATGGACACACGCACTGACCACGTGTCACTTATACGGGCAAATAATTGTGAAAATATAAAAACAACAGCTTCCCTACTTGTCATCACTTCAGATAGCAGCTCAGCGTTACATAAAGCACACAAACTTTCCTTTACAAAACTCGCGATTTCCTACTCCTTGCTCATTAACACCAGCCTCCCACGCACTTGACGAGAGAGTGAGAATAGCTAGGAACAATGTGTCCCCATTTAAAAGTTGAATTTTTAAGTAGACAGTCTTTTTCAGAGATCCAATGTTGCACGCGCATTGGGGCATCCTGCTCCTTTCCCTCGACTCAAGCTTTCCCCATAAAAGCCTATACTGTTTTACGCACACATCTGACGCACAACTAGACTTCTTGCCAATAAAATAAACACTTAAAATCGATTATCCTTTATCCTTTACGACCCACCTTATTGTTATGACCGCCGTGCGTTCATCCAAATCTGGTCCACATTTAAAAGCATCCAGCAACAGCAGCGGCAGATCCTTTGAGCCCCTGAGCCCGCACGAAAACGTATCAGCCGCGGATCTTGCACGATTATCCCACAGACAAACAACAAAAACCCGGATTTCAATTAACTTGACGCAGGCGCCTTAACTTGAAGTGATGTCTAAATCGCATCAAGAGCTTTGCTATTTTCCACTGAAGAGGGCGAAGAAACAAAAGACTTGCTACTAAGATGAGATGCGTCGCTGCGCAGAGTGCCACACAGTGCTCACAGGGAGAGAGCGAGCGAGCGAGTGAGAAGGAGCGCTTCATGCAGGTGGATAGTCTCGCGCGCGCGGGGCTATAGGCACACCCATTGGGGAGGACTCGTACCTTTTAGCATCCCCGAGTGTCGTCCCCGCCTTCACTTTATCAGCCTAATGTCATCTTTACGCAGATGAACGACAATTATGTGGTGAAATCAAAACAGATGACGCAGTGGTCTAGCGCTTCAATGAAGAGGGAAATGTTGTATCCACTGGCTTCAAACACGATCAGATTTAGATTCTCCAACATGTGGCTTTGTATTGAGAAAAAAAAGGAAAAACACTTTGCACACAGAGGCGATTGCTTCAATATGTGAATTGAGACAATCAGCTATAACTTATTCAGTTGTTTAAAATGTCATGTCATTTTCAATTTTGTTGAAACCCATCATAAAAGTTTTGACAGGGGGAAGGATATGTTATAATAGCTTTGGTGCCAGATTACAAATCATATTTATTGACTAGAGTACATATTTAAAGTTACACTATGCAACTTTTCTTGTGTCTGTACCTGCAAGTAGTTGACCAGGCCACTAGACCAAGTTACTGGTCAGATCTGGGGAGAGTAAAGGGTTTTTAATAAAATCCGTACTGTATGAACATTACAGGCAAAGCAATAACATCTCCATGGAGACAAGCAGATGGCAGACCCTTTGCAAGGAAGGTTACATAGTGGACCTTTAAACTGCCAAGTGCTTATACTGTGCATGCACTCTGGCATTAAAAAACACACAAGCAAGAGGTCCACTTGAACATTTTTTACAACTGAATGGGCCTCCTAAACTCAATTAAATATATTTGTGTATAATCCAACATCATAACAGCAGCCACCTTGCAGCGCATAACAAAATTGTCATTGGCTAACAGACAAGCAGTTCTACAAAAGTTTTACATTCATTGGTAACTACCTTTCGAGTCCATATTTTCCTATACAACAGTTGCTCCGGTACAGATTGGGGCAGATTTCTCCCAACACCTCAGCCTGCCCTCACAGAGGATCACTGGCAGCAGATATTCATGGGCAAATGGAGTCTCAAATCTCTTAATCTGGCCTTAAACCCTCTCCTGATCACACAGGCTTATTTGACTTCTTATCCAGTCACCGCACAAGGCAGCTGACACCCGCTGTGCATGCTTATTATTCTATAAATGATAAACATAGAGGCTTAGGTGTCACATAGCCTGTCCTGTTACTGTGTGTACAATCAGATTACATTATGCACACACACAGCGGTTCACTTAATCGAGATTGTAGAAATAATAATTTATGTAAGATAGTGTAAGGCAAGGAAAGTTTACCCTCAATTTTAATGATAAAGATTTAAAATGAATGCTAAACAAAAGTCCATGTATCGCAGCTACAGTTTTAGTCATTTCAACCCGGTAGACAGAATGGTGTTCCTGAAAGACAATATTGAATTAATCTATGCAAAACAGGCTGCGCAGTGTGGCTCCGGGCTTTGATGCTCACAGGAGGAAGAGAAGAAAAGGGCACAAAATTAGCATTAGCATTAGCAGTGGAATTGCCACAGGAGCTTGTAAACAATTATCTGTACAAATTCGATATGCCACTAGACATTAAAGCTTGACCGGAGGAAAATGTTGATGATAAACTATTGTTGTTTCTGACATTGTGGAGTAGTTGCAGGTGGATCACATGTAAGTCATTGTCTACAAAGCAGACCACACTAATAATAACCTGAAGTTCCACTCCCTGACATGAAATCAAACACAGAAATCTGAACAAAGTCGAACGGTTTAAGCAGTTTCCACTCAGAACTTGTACCGAGCAGCCAAGTCTAATCCTGTCATCAGCTCTTGTTGCTAACAGACTCCATCCATTGTTTTCCTTCATTTAGATTTTCTTTCTTGACCTGAAGCCAACAGCTGCATGTTGTTTCCTATATTTCTTTTTAATCAACAATATTATTCCCTTCTTTAGGCCCCTGGTGGCCTTACCATCTGTCACTTGCGTGAGACAAGAGGCAAGCAATTATTGAATCCTGCTTTTGTGAAGTGGCTGCTTCATAAAAGTCCCTCTTGCTTTCCAGCTTTTCCTGCAGCACACTTTCACTCGCTGAGATGGAGCGCTGTGAAAGAAGCCAAACACAGGGAACACATTTAGACCAACTGAGAAAAACGCCTTTGAGCTCGGCAGAGGAGATGTAGATATAAATCCAATGGCTCTTGGGAAATTTGTTACATATTGTATCACTTTAAACATTTCAGTTTGTTCTTGAATTGATGGGATTTCACAATGTGTGCTTGACTTCAAGTTCAACCTATCCATTTGGAGGAGTTTCCATTTTCCAGGCCGACCTGAAGGTAACACTGCATGCATTATTGAGAGGCGCGCTTGCAGAGAGAAGTGTTCAACGAAACCACTTTCCATATAGTTATCCCTGAGTCCCGCCCCAGCACTAACACACACTGACACATACACTTAATGAACGGACAGTGTGGTGTTCATGGAAACAGGTGCCAAGAGGAATACAAATCCACACAATAAAAACTCATATGAGTTTCATTACACTCTGACCTTTGCCATAAGTGGCTCCTGTGCCACAAACTAATTATTAACAGACTGCGACACCTCACCTCTGTCTCTGCCGCACCACACAGGGAAGGCAATTAACAACTGTTGATGGTGACGAGGTGAGCAAACATCTGCATGAGCACCCACCGCCTGAGAGGGAGAGAGGGAGGGCCAAGAGAGGGAGAGATAGAGAGACAAAGATAGTGAGAGTGAGAGAGGCAGAGAGAGGGGAAAACATAGTGGGGGGGGGGGAGAGAAGGCAACGGTACTGAGAGGCCTTCAGTTCATTTTAAAGTGGATTTAATGAGGATCATCCTCCTCAGAGCCGCTACCTTTTAGTTTGAAAAGATACTAAAAATTCTGCAGAGCATTACCTGGCATAGCAGCATGCTCATTAGCATTTAAATGGGAAACAGATAATGGTGAGCTTGTAGAGTCATACTAACCTCACAACCCGAGCACAAAACCTGAATTTGGGCTGAAAAACTAGACTAAAAGATTCTTATTAGACAGTTCATGGACACTGTGAAGCCAGTTTCTTGGTATAGTCTAATCTCTAAAATTCATTCATAATATTACATTTTCTAACACCTGACCAAACTAACCATTAGCATGTCTCCAGTTACTCTGCTCTCAACAGAAATTATAGGACCTACATTTTAAGAAAACTTGACCTCAGATCAATGATGTTAGCTTAGTTTAAACCAGACTTAGTTGAACCTCATTTGCTTTATATGTGAAGCATGTGGGTGTTGTTGTATTGGTTTAGTTATGTCTGCAAAGCTCACATTTATCCTTGTTTGCTGCTTCATGCTCAAACTATACACAAACTGTGAAATGCTTTGAATATCTGACTATTATTTTTGGCATTAGACTAACCGCAAAGCATGTAAAAGATATGTCGGGAAACATAAAAGCACATTTGTTAATCAGACGTTTGATTCATACAAATATTTAGACTGTTTTATGATTTGTATTGGTTGTCTCTCTGTCTGTGATTACTAACACATGCATTTTCATAAACAGCATATTTTCCATTGCGACTGCTGTTTGACAGGTTGTGAGGTGTTTGCGTTATTTTGTTTCATAGTCATAGAAGCAGATTCTGACTCAGGCTGAACTTCACAAGGATAAAAACTGGGACATCTGCCATTTTGAAATAACAAAACTTTGTCTCATTGTCATGGAATTGTTCAGGATAGTAGGAGGAACTCGTTTGGATCAAAACTTTTTCCCAAGAGGTTTTCAAACAGTGGTACTGGCCCAAAAGTTGGTACACAAGCGAATTTTGATAGTTTTAATTTTAATCAGGTCCAGTTTCTATCCGAACTGGTTAAGGGTGTTCTGACCTGGAACTATATTCTGTCCCTGATTTCTGACAGACATGATGGACATTAACCAATCAAACATGGGATGTTACAAGTAAAAAACAAAAACACAGATGACTGACAATTAGCACAGATTTTCTACAGAAATCCTTGAGTGAAGCACTAAACTCTAAAAAGAAGGTATATGTTTTGGTGTGAATGATATAAGAGTGTTCAAGAGGAGAATAATTATGCATTTGAGAGAAACAAGCTACAAATTTTTGGATGTAATTAGACGATCGCAAAACGGAACAGCTGTCTGATGTGCTCTCTCAGGTCTGGCTCAGACCTTCCTGCATTCAAACCGAAAGTAGGAGGGACTGGGTCGCCAGGCGACTTTTTTCAGGTAGTTCTCCTGGTTCGGTACTTATTTATTTAGTTGATTAAATTTGTTATTTGGTCTCTTTTGGTTCTAGCTTAGACCTGGAGTCTTGTGTAAACTCGAAACAGAGCTTGATTTTCGCCATTTAAATTATTAGTATGTTCTGTTTCATGGGGTGAAAATCAATGATCCTGGTATAATATTAGGTTAAATTGCGGATTTCAGATTTCTTAATTTAGTTTCATGTGTTCAAAATTGTAAATATTTTGAGCGTAAAACAGTTTTGTGTGAAAATTATAAAGACCATGTCCTGCAGGCTCCACATGGTCTAACCAAGTCTCTTTCTGTCAGTACTACAAAACTACTGTCTTCAGCTGGGCCCATATTACATTACATCAGCTCATTGAGGCCACACCACCGTAAAATGGGCTGTGAACATCAACAATGGTTTTATATTTAGCGTGACTGTGTGGCGGAGGTGTCCAGGATGGTTGGTACCTGTGGTCAGCTGGTGGTTGGTTCATTCAGGGGGGTGTTGGGTAATAGTTTTCCCAGGCTGCAGTGGGTCTCGGGCTGTCAGAGCATCCAGCCACATGTCTCCGGCTCCTGGCTGAGAGAGGAGAGGGAGAGGAAATGACTGAGCATTTTTGTACTATACTGAACAGAACTGACTGCAAGGAAGAGGACTTGACCAATGGCGATCTGAGAGTAAACAAAGAACTACTCC